GGGGGGGGAAATCCTTAGGGACAGCTTCGAAGTCCTGAGTTCAAGCCCCAGGACAGGTAACAATAAATAAATAAATAAATAAATAAATAAAAAGTGACAGTTCAAAATGAAAGTGTTTCAAAGGTTGAGCTCATGGAGGAAAGAACAAACTAGATCATAACGACTTGAAGATTATTAGGAAAATAGTTGAGTACTATTCCAAGATCCATGGGAAGTCAATAAAAAGGCTTGCTCTTTCCTGGAAGCTTATTTTGTGGGGAATAACTGCAGAGCAAAAATGTAAATGAAGGGAGTGGCGACGGCCCAGGTCAAGAATGACACTGAGATTATCCAGGATATTGGCAATGCAAGAGAAAACAAGTCCTCAGACTCATTGCTTCAAGAGGAATTTTAATAATAGAGCAAAGAGGATCATTTCAAAGAGGTAAAGAATTAAAAATGGCCATTTTTTTTCTCCTAAGCAACTAGATTAATCATAGTAGCAGTTACTAACAAAGAAAAAGGTTTGGTGCTACAGTGATGGGCAGGAATTTAAAAAATACATGTCATCTCAGTGCTTATTAGACATTTGGTTGAGGGTGTCAGCTCAGAGAGAGACCGACCAATGTAAAGATGGGACCTCAGCATAAAAGCAGTTTTTAAACCATAGAAAGTAAATAAACTCCCCTGGGGAGGGAATAGGGCTGACTGAGCCCTAGGTGAAGTACAGCAAATACCATCAACAAAGACATCTATGAACAAACACATAAACGTCAGCAAGGACTCCATCCATTTCCTTTCTAGTCAATGGTGAGTCAGAAACTGGACAAGCCAGAAACTTGTTTCCACATTTCTTAAGTTAACATCAATTCACTTGTACAGGTAGGTTTCATTTAGACATGTTTAAAAATGCATCTAATGTACCTTGGTCAGATTCAGCCTTCCTATTACTTTTCCTCAGCACTATTCTCCAATTCTAAACCAATGTCAACAAGCTCCCTCATCCAATTGTCACAGGTGTACGGAAAGAATTATGATGAGATTTGCCCTCTTCCGTTCATTTTGCTTCCCCTCCCCTTCCCACTAATTGTCCTTGCTGATTGATTGTTCAAAGGAATTTCACCAAAGAAGATTCACCCATGCAAGTACAGGTATAAAATCCGATTCACTCCCTCATTCGCTCTTCCTACTACTTCCTTTTATTCAACAGCTTTCAATGAGAGTTTTATTTGCCGTCTTTATTATAGATGGAATGTAATTCAGTACTGTTCACCTTCTTTCTCTTTTTATTCCTCTCAAACAGTTCCACAGTTACAAGCAAACATGTTATACACACACACACACACACACACACACACTTATATATTGTTCTTGCATCTATATATGAGATAAAACATTCATCCTTTGTCTTTCTCTGGCTCACTTTACTTAACTTGATGTTCTCCAATTTCATCATTTCCCTGCAAAGGACATAATCTGTATGACTAAGATCCCTTGTGTATAGGTATCACATTTTCTTGATCCATTCCTCGATTGTAGGACATTTGGGTTGTTTGACTAGTTTGGCTGTTATGAATAATATTACAATGAACAAGTGCCTCTGTACTGTATCCTAACTTACATTCCTTTGGATATATGTCCATAGTATAACAGTTCTATTTTTCAGTTTTTTGAGAAACCTCGTTACTGATTACTTTTTCCACTAGTTACATCCCCTCCAACAATATAGAAGTATTTGTTTTCCAGGCACCTCAGCAGCAATTATTGTTGTTTGTGTTCTTGATTATTGGTCATTGCGACTGGAGTTCCCAACACTCCACTCTAGGAAATGGGAAAGTGAGCCTTGGAGGTTCCTTTGATTGGTAGCTTGGAGCTGGCTCTCCAAGCTGAAGACACAGCTGCAGCTGAGTCTCTGCAGGTTCCTCACCTGCAGCAAGGGGGCGCTACACTTGCCCCAGTAGTTTTCTCTCTCTCCACCAGGCTCATTCTTGTTACCTGCACTCCTAGAGTAGGCAGGTGAGCTGACGACCTTCCAAATGAAGCATGCCAAACACTCTCTAATACAGAATTGGCAGGCCTGCCCAAGGAGCTGATGTCGGTGGGGTTTCTTTTAATTCACGTTTTATTAATTCAGTCTTATCTATGAAAGATTTGGGCTGTAATCTGAACTTTCCTATCAAAGATCTCCTGAGTTGCTGCCTAATCATCTTGTTGCTACAAATGGAATCCAAGCTGCAAACCTATGGTTCCTCCAGGAGAATATGCACTTCCAAAGCTTCAAATGCGCTGTCTAACTCAAAGCCCACGGACAGGAACTAGCTACAATGGTAGCATCTCATAGCTGAAGGAAGTATGACAGAGCAAATACGACCTTGGCCCAAAGGAAACACCATTGAAAATTGTGAATAAAATCTGTAGATTTAATAATAATTTTGTCCAGATTTTTGTTATATGTAGGCTGCCAATTCTTTATTAGAGAGTGCTTAGAAATATATTTAATTTTTTAATATTACCATAAATTAATTATACAAAGAGACATCATTGTGATGGTTATAATATGTACTTTGCCCTATCTATATTACTGTTTCTTACAATGTCCTTGATTTTTTAATAAATACACAGTGAAGTATCAGAATTGAAGGAGCATGCTTGTAATTAACTCTCAAGTGTTAAATTACACTCTGTCTCTGTATAAGAATGACCAAGGAAGTGTAAGATGAAGAGAATGTTATAATGCTGTACAGGAATTCATATATATATATATATTCATATTATATTCATGTATATGAAATCCTATACATATGTAGGAACCCCTATGCCTATATACACATGTGTGTGTGTGTGTGTGTGTGTGTGTGTGCTGGGGTGTGTGTGAATTCCTATATAGCATTCAAAGAAGCAGGCTAGTCAGATCTAAGGTTTTTGAGAAAAAGCCGGAGAAAGAATGTAGGACCCCTCCCCCAACACACACACACACACACACACACACACACACACACACACACACACACACCCCTCCTCTGTTTCACTCAATCCCACAGTGCCCTGAGTTTCCCTCAAAGCTGCAGTTGGAAATTCTAACAGAAGGCTACCTTGGAGAATCACCATGTCTCTAACTCCCCAGAGCCAAACACAAGGTCTGCTAAGACACTGGAGACTCAGGTAATGGGCAGTGAAATCAACAGAATACAAGAAATATCTGAAAGAAATGGTGGGCAAAGTTCTATCTGTGTGTTCCATCTGCTGGTGGGAAGATGTTCTCTTATGCAAACAGGCAGAGGGCTTGTTGAGGGGAAAGACCGGCCCTGTGCTCAGGGCTCCTTTTATTGCTCCTCACTAAGATAGCCCTGCTCTCTTATTGAAGAAAGGTAATTTGAGCTTGTACCCTTGGGTTGGCCTAAGTGGCCCTATGAATCAGACTGAGTAAGGAGGAGTGTAATTTCAGGTACAATGTGTCCCTGGACCCAAGGTCTCTGTTGGATCATGAAGCTTTTCACTGAGATAAGAAGAAATGAAAAGATGCCCAAGATACCAGTAAAGGTAGAAATAGCTCCATATTCGGTAAATCCTTCATCAAGAAAACAAAGTCTCATTACGTTCTGTTCTTAACTTTCCAAACTGGCTGGTACATCACATGGACTTTGCACATGAGCTCGGAAATTAGAATCCTTTTAACTCCCAAAGTTCAAGAGCTTTGTTTAGCAGCTGAAAAACGTGATTTTGCTTTGAAAATGTAGCTGATTCTACATTGTCACAAAAGATTACTTTCCCAGAAAAACAAATCTTTAATAGAGATGAATAAAAAAATAATAAATCTACATGCCAGTACTATGTAAGTATAAGATGTACAGAAAACTGGGATATACATATATACTTTTTCTTACCAACAAAATATAATTTCACAACCATGCCATTGTCATAATATTCTAGAGGAAAATTAAAGTAAACCACAGCATAGTGTTGAGGAGAACCCTGATTGGCATAGTAATTCAGATAGGGACTGCTTTGCTTCATTGTTTTTTTTTTGTTGTTGTTGTTGTTTGTGGGTTGTGGGGCCTGAACTCTGGGCCTGGGCACTGTCCCTCAGCTCTTCAGCTCAAGGTGAGCTCTCTACCAGTTGAGCCACAGCGCCGCTTCCGGCTTTTTCTGCTTATGTGGTGCTGAGGAATCGAACCCAGGGCCTCATGCATGCAAGGCAAGCACTCTACCACTGAGCCACCTTCCCAGCCCCTGCTTTGCTTTAATAAGGAATACAAAAGTTTTGAGGACTCGTTAGCTGAGATTACTATCATGCTGACAAGGGCTTGTTTACCCATTTATTTGAAAATAAGCTCTGATGGAAAACCCAACTTAATGGCTAGGAACTGGATATCTAACTCTCCATTGGTTGTCTCCTCTTAGATTGTCCATAAGACCCTTTGGCTTTCATCTCTCATGTCTTACTCTTCTAACAACAGGAGATCCATGCCTGCCATCATTCCTTCTAGGCTCTGTGCCATAGGAGTATATTGTGTGTACAACATAAAGAGACTTATTTGGGGAAAGATACCTAAGAGCAGGAGTCATTTTCTATCCCTGTAGATTCAAGTATCTGCCTAGTTCTAGAGGCCCTGGCCTAGTCCTGGACTATTGATATAAGGAAAACTCATAAGGATTCATGGTTGCCTGAGACCCAGCTTATGGGACTGTCTATGGAGCACACAGGATTTCAGGTCTCTATGTGGAAAGTTGGATAATATGGTATTTGTCCTTCAATGATTCTCAATCAACCTGGACCTTCCCAGTCTCTTATTCCCTCAGTTTTCTCCACACCTGCCATTACCCTGGGCTGGTCTACAGATACCAGTAAAATTCACGCCACAGCATGCTTTTGTCTGAAGAAGAGGCATGGATATTGGACCAGAGAAGCATATCACAGACAGATCTAGAAAGGTGAGCCTAATGCTGACTTGTGTGTTATCCCAATAAAAAACAATGCAGAGGGCTTTGCACGTAGGTCCCCGCCCAGTGGTTCTTCTTACCTTCGGTTCCATTGAAATGAAACTGTGGGTCCCTCTGCTCGAGAGAACTGACCTTTTAATCGTCCTGCTATGGTAGAAATGATAGTAGTCCTTCAAGGCACCAATCTGCAAAGACCAAGTGGGAGAGAAGAAAGATGTTATAGTCTGAATACAGCCTATTTCCCTGTTTTTCATTAAAATAAGAACACAAAACAGAAAGGTCCCTAAATTATTCAATTGCCTACTGTTCTTAACTGTTACTTGAACCTTGGTGATCACTTTTCAAAAGAAGGATGTGATAGGAAATGTGTGTCCTTGAAGCGGTGACTGAAGAGCTCAAGGTTGTAATGGGGCAGCCCAGTCTCTCCATATCTCCTGCTTAATGTTTAATTTATATGCAGCATTTTAAGTAAGTCTATATCAATCTATATCCAAATGTGGGAAAGAGAGGGGTAGGAATCAAATCGCACTGTGGTTATAAAAACACATTGCAATTTGTTTGCTTTGAGAAATGCACAATGAAAGACCTTGTTAGATTATTTATATAGTTAATTTGAAACACATCTTAAAGCAGTTGATCTTTCACAAAGATAACACTGTGTAGTTTGTCTCCGGACTTCAGTAGACAGTATAAATGCATAGCCCTCATTCATGGCCAACCTGCAAATGCAGTGGCAATTTTTTTTTATTTCCCTACCCAGCCTCCCCCCGCCCCCCCACCCAACCCTCCCCCCCTCACCAAAGTTGTAAAGTTCGTTTTCGACATGACAAGTTGTATGTCTCATTGTTGCAACGGGTCCACCTGTATCCTTATTTAAACAACTTGTTTTTCCCCTTCCCCTCCACAAGTTATACCGACATCAAATACAGTGAAAGCAGGGCTTATACTGTGGGGGAGGGACATACAAAGCAACAAAGAAATAATCTTACAAATGAGTTAGAAACAAATGCATGAAAGAAAAACAACATTTAAATACATATCTTAGGGTTCATTTTCCTAACATCACCTAATCTGACCTTTTCTGCTTGACTCATACATATACGAAAATTGCAAATAAGGGAAACCATGGGTGCAGTGGCAATTCCTAAAACAAAACTCATACATCTCAGGGCTGGGAAGGTGGCTCAGTGGTAGAGCACTTGCCTTGCATGCATGAGGCCCTGGGTTCGATTCCTCAGCACCAGAGAAGCAGAAAAAAACTGGAAGTGGTGCTGTGGCTCAAGTGGTAGGGCACTAGCTTTGAGCTGAAGAGCTGAGGGACAGCGCCCAGGCCCAGAGTTCAGGCCCCATGACCACCACCACCAACAACAACAAAAAAACCTCACATCTCATATGTCCTATCTATCAGCTAAGCTTCAGGTATAAAACTGATTTGATCTACTTTATAGTTCTTTACTTTAACATTTTAGTCTTGTGTTTGTACCTCTGTTCTTAGTTAAGAATGGTTGAAATTAAGTCCTAGTCCTCTTGGAGAAAATAGATGAACAAAATCTCAACCATATTCTCCTAGCAACGTTCAAAGTGTGAATCACTAGTTGGTGCCAGTGGCTCACATCTGTAACCCTGGCTAAGCTGAGATCTGAAGATCCAGAACAGGCAGAAAAGTCTGACATTCTTATCTCCCATTAACCAACAAAACCCTGGAAGTAGAAGACTGGCTCAAATAGTAGAGCACCAGCCTTGAGCAAAAAAGACAAGGAAGAGCTTAAAATCCTGTGTTTCAAGCCCAACACACACACAGACACACACACACACAATTTTTGGATCAGTGAATGAAAACTGAAAAGTCAGGAGAGCTTATGTACAGTTTTAGCTGATATTAACAGCAACTAAAAATCATATATTGCCAGCTACCAGTGGCGCACATCTGTAATCCTAGCTTTTAGGAGGCTGAGATCTGAGGACTGTGGTTTGAAGCCAGCCCACAGACTTATCTCCAACTAGCCACCAAAAAGCCAGAAGCAGAGCAGTGGCAAGTGGTAGAGCACTAGCTTTGAGCCAAAAAAAACCGCAATGACAGTGCCCAGACCGTGAGTTCAAGCCCTAGGACAACAACAACAAAAACCAAACATACTTACTGAGTTTGTTTCCTTTTCTATAAAATTACACTTTGGGCAAGTTAATTTCTAGAACATTACAGGACTCATTTTATTATTTAGCATTCACTTCCCTGACTTTGAGCAAATATATTAAATGACTCATTCTCCAGAATAATCATAGCTTTGCCTAAAGAATAGCCATCAACAGAATTTTTCCAAATGGGACAATGAAACACGTGGGCTTAATTAAAAGTAATGCATAGAGACCAATTTTTTTTCTAGATGAAAGCTTTATTTCTTGATAAAACCTTTCATTTCTTCTTCCTTTCTTTTCATCATTTCTCAACCACCATCCCACCAATTTTTATGCCATTTAGAAATCACCTCTTCACTGGGACTTTCTTCTATCATCAAATATTACACCAGAATTCATGTTTAAAAGCAAGCCTCACATCTCTGCTTCAAGTGCAAAATCCCCTGACCTACATGGAACAATTTCTCAACTCTAACACCAGCCAGCAAGGGATCAATGCAAGGAAATCTCAGTTGAAATCTCTAATCTCAGTGATCCTGGGCTCTGAGACAGAAGCAAACAATGAGGAAGAAGACGCAAGTTCCTATCCCAGCCTCTAAGAGTGTGTCCAGAAGGGATTCACTGGCCAATTTTAAGCTTTTGGAGGACTAAAGGTAGAATTCAGGAGAGGCTACACTATCTCTTATAAGAAAATCTTAAAATCTCCCAAAGCTCAATGTATTCATCTCATGTAGCTTAAGTCAAGTGCTCCTTGAGAAAATAGAGTATTTCTGAAAGAAAGAAACAAGAGTGTTTCTGAGAAAGAACTTACCAGAAGAACCGGTCATGAGGGTGTGAAAGTACCACTGTATTTAAGATCACAGCTACTCGACAGTAATGGAACTTCTCTGATTATAGGAAATGAGGAACTTGATTATATAACTACGGGTATAGTTGACACATCTAAACACTTTCGAGGCTCACTGGTTGAGCCTGGAATCCCCATCTACTGGGTTATAGAACGAGGTGGACAAAGGAGGAACTGCCCTGACTTAGGTTGTTTGGGGACTCTCAATGAATTATTTAGTCCCTTTGGGTGTTCAGTTTCCTCAACAGTAAACTGAGACGTGCATGGGTAGAGTGAACAAAGATGGCAAAGATTGGAAGTCTGAGCCAAATGAGGGACAAGCGTGTTTCTGGGTTGATGTGGTTATGAGGAATGAAGTTACTGATGACTCCCAGAAGAGCTGGAAGCTCTTGGTTTCCCATCTAAACTCAAATCCTATCTTCTCTCACCTCACACACATCTTCTTCTTCTTTCACCTCTATCCCTTCATCTACACAGAGGGGTCACCTCTTTTCTTTCCCAATCTCACTGCTGAAAAACCAACCACAACATCAACAAGATTGGTAAAAAAAAAAAAAACCAGTATTGTGAACATGTGCATCATTAATGTGGTTTACAAAGAACTGGTCAAAAGCCTCATGTGGGACAATTATTTGAAAAGAATTTGGCAATGCCAAATATGCACTGTATCTAACCGAGGTTTCCTACTTCTACACATGGATTCTTCAGTCACTTCCACGCAAGGGTGGATGTTAGAACCAACTTTGTAAATGGTACAGGATGTGAGCAACAAGCTGGCATCAATAGGTCATTAATCCTATATCAATGAAAAATGGATTCGACTCTAAACTGTGAGGAGGAAGTGCAAAACATGTGTCTAATACGACCTGATTGTTGCAGAAGAAAAACAAAGAATCCATATTGCATGCATAATCACAGTTGTAAGAATACTATAGAAATTGAAAAAAAAAAAGGGTATTTTCTCATCAGTTATACCCACACATTTTTCTTCTGCCAGTCCTGGAACTCAGGCCTAGTGCTCTACCACTTGAGCCACAGCACCACTTCTGGCTTTTTCTGAGTATTTTATTGGAGATAAGAATCTCACAGCTGGGTACCGGTGGCTCACACCTGTAATCCTAGCTACTCAGGAGGCTGAGATGTGAGGATCACAATTCGAAGCCAACTCAGGCTTTAGGAAAGGCATGAGACAGACTCTAATCGCCAATAAACAACTCAGAAAAAGCTAGCATTGAGTCGGCAGCTGGTGGCTCACACCTGTAATCCTAGCTACTTGGTAGGCTGAGATCTGAGGATCACAGTTAGAAGCTAGCCTGCGCAGGAAAGCTCGTGAGACTTTTATCTCCAATAAACTATTGAAATAAGCCAGAAGTGGTACTGTGGCTCAAGTGGTAGAGTACTAGCTAGCTAGCTCTGAGCACCAAGAGGCTCAGGGACAAAGCCCAGGCCCTGAGTTCAAGCCCCAGGACCAGCAAAAAGAAAACAACAACAACAACAACAAATAGGAAGACATAGTAATGCATGCCCATCAGCAATCCTCATCACCCCATAATTCTAGCAGTTGGGAGGCTGAGGCAAAAATAACAAGTTTGAGGCCAGGATGGGCTACTACTAAGAGAAAAGAAGAAAGACAGAAAGAAGCAAAGGGAAAGAAGGAGGGAATAAAAGAGAAAAAAAGAAGGGAGGGAAGGAGTGATCCAAACAAGTGACTGAAACAATGTGTGCGCCACACAACCTCCTCTCCCAGGAGCTCCTGTGACCTCCAAGTCCATGCGGTAGTGCAAGCTCCACAGTTAGTCAGGCCCCAGACCTCTGAACAAGAAACTCTGCTCATCTTCATCTCTCCAGGGTTCTGTTTCCTGTACAAAGCCATGGAATGGCAGCCTTGCTTTACTGCTTGCTCCCTCCCAGACCCAACGTTCACCGTGTGCCAGGCATCTTGTGACTTTTCTACATTTTACCGTATTTAGCTTCTCCTTCTCCTTCTTCTTGTTTCTTCTCATTGCTATTCTTTGTGCCAGTCCGAGGGCTTGAACTCTGGCTGTGTGAGGGCTTGTCCGTTAAGGCTGTCACTCTAACATTTGAGCCACAGCTCTATTTCTGGCTTTGGGGGGCAGGGGGTGGTGGTGGTGGTGGTGGTTGTTAGTCAGAGATAAGAGTCTCATAGACTTTTCTGCCCAGGCTAGCTTCAAAATGCGATCTGAGCAATCTGAGTATTAATATCTCATTAAACATTTAAAGTAATGGCAGGAAAGACACCATACGCTGTAGCTAACACGTTGAGTGAAGATCATTCAGCAGCTACCCTGACTACCCTTTCCTACAGGTTCTGCATCATGTGGGCCAGTCTAGTTCTGCTCACTCTCCAGCCTGCAGTCATGCTGGCTGGTCTCCATTGCCTTCATTCTGATGCCTCTAATCACAGCACACGCCCCCACCTCCACCTGTTCCATGTGGATTCATTCCTCTTCCTCACCTTTTATGCCAGCCTTCAGATGAGGTCAGATTCATGACTGCATTTCATAGCACCGTAAGAATATGTCTCTTGCTTTAGTACCTGTGTCACCATGCACCTGCGTGCTCCACTGAGGCAGGATGTATCTCATTGCTTGCCATGCTGTGCCCAATTTCTGGTACATAGTTCAACATGTACTAGAACCTCAGGGAAGACTGCGAAATAATCTGAAAATCAGACTCCTTGGATTACTAAAATCACATCCACTGGACCTAAC